TTCCTGGTCTGCAGACCAGGGAGACGCAGAGAAAGCCCCAGAGTACACGGGCGGCAGGACCGCGAGGTCCCGCAGTCTGTTTACTCTGGGGCAGCCCCGTTCGTAACTGCGGATCCGACATAAGTCGGATCCGCGTAAGTCGGGGACTGCCTGTACTTCCTCACCTGATAGAATACTAAAAGGTCTCATAGCCACAGAAAATAAATGGCAACTATCTCTATATAATATCTGAAGCATAAAGTAATAAAAATACTAAAATAAGTGGAGAGTGTGACAGAGTCAGGCCAGAGAAATACAAAAGAATAATGGAAGGGAGTATATTAGCCACAGACTGAGTAAATCTCTGTTCCCAGGGTAACTTGGGAGGGGCTAGTTCAGAACCAGCAAGGACTTGCCAGAACCAATCCATCTGGAGCTAATTAAGTAGGCTGACAGAGTGAAGTGTGGTGTGGTGCCTAAAGGCTGGTTAGAACACTTGGGGCCAATTAAAGAACCAGTTGAGATCAGTTATAAAAAGAGCTTCTCTACAGTTAGTGTGCGAGGAGTTGAGAGGACAGAGGAAGCACTGCAGAGAGTCTAGGAGGAGCAAGCACCAAAAGATTCTAGTAGGAAGAGCCTGAGATAAGGAAGGTGTGAGGAAGTAGCCCAGGGATACTGTAGCTGTCTCTCAGCTGGCACTGGAGACTTTTATAGGCAGCTTCTATTACAGGGCAGGTTCCCACTAAATGCCCACTTCCCCATTTCCGCTCAGAGAAAAGACTGTCTAGGCTAAAGAAAGGGGTTTACTCAGCCCTGTATCATTTCGGGGATCACTAAGGCTGTGGAGTTTGGTTTCCCTTTATACCTTATGCTGGCCAATGACAAGAGGAGCTGAACAAACAGCAAGCTGATGCACTAAGTGGGGGTGCCTAAATTTAAGCCCCCTGCAAGTCTCTGAGGCATGCAATCCACCTGAAAGTGCAGGATCCACCAAGTTTGAGTAGGAGCTTTATCACAATAGGAATTGCTGCTAGTTCTGGAATATTGACATGAGCATGGCAGACGGTTGGATTGTAACGCTACTGCTACAGCTATGTCTAATTGTTTTGTCTCTCTGTTCATGAAGTCCTAAAAACCTTAAATTCAGTAGCTCCTCTACTGGTATGACATGTAGCAGGAGGTGTAATGTCCAAATCAACAGTAGCTGCCCAGAGTTCCCATCTAAACCCTAATTACGTACTTGAGTTGGCTAGCCCGTCCCATTATCATTGCAGCTGTGGCTACTGTGCAATTGTTAGCATGCAAGATCAATAACAGCTAGAATGGCAATGTCTATGAAAACTAGAAATTATGCCTCCACCGCAGTAGACATAACCTAGTGCTTTTTCCACTAGCCCCTGATGAACGTGTCAAACAAAGAGACTAAACTGCAGTTTGGCTAAAATTGCATTAAGTCACCAACTAGGTTTTGAAACCAATGCCAAATTATTATTGTGTCTCCAGAACTGACTTGCATACGCAATTTACATTTTACTAGAGCTAGTCAACATTCTTCTTTTTCCCAACCCTTCCCTCTTCATTTTGCCAAATTTGTAGTAGAAAATTATATCATTTGAATAAGATGGCTTGTTTTAACTAAGAAGAAGTGAGAGTAATAGAGACAGTAACTACTAGTACAACCAATGAGTTAAAGAGAGAAAAGAAATGCCAAGTGTTAACTACAACGTAGTCAGTAAATCAAGAGAATAAACGGAAATAATCAAATTAATACAGCTAGTATAATAAAATCTCACAGAGAAACTTTTCCCACTTAGAAGTAGAAGTTGATAAGCAAACCATGTTGTTGTACATATATGCCTAGTCTACTGGTCACAAAGAGTAAAACACCACTCTTTTATTATAGACCACTCTCAGAAAGTGTCCTGACATCATCATTTACCTGATTTTTATTTTAAAATCAAGTTCAGACTGAAAGCAATGAGCCTGTGATGCTGGAAGCTTTATAAAGTGATATGTAATAAACATGCTATATTATTGTGTTCACAGAACACATAGAAAGACGCATGGAGGGTGTAAGTGGGCTATAGCATGTTGCTATCGATGATCTACGTGCAAGAAGCGGTCAACAATATCATCCAAGTTATGTATGATCAGAAAAGGAGATGGGCTGGCCATGTAGCAAGTCTGAGAAACAACAGAGGCACAGCATGTATACTTCATTGGTATCCATGAGGCACAAAAAGAATAAGAGGAAGGCCTCCAGCACGTTGGGTAGATTCTTTATGGAAGATTTATGGAAGGACATGGACGAGAACTGCACAAAACAGGACGGCGTGGAAAAGTTGTGTTCTACATTGGTGGCAAGACTATTCATATCGATGAAATCACGAATCTTCCAAGTATATAATAAACATAGACATAGGCATTGACTTTTGCTCTAGCTGGAGAGTGATCCCCATATCTCTGCCTCAGCCCCCAACCTGTCTTGCCTCTTCTCAAGCCTGCTCCACCTCCATCCCTTCCCCCAAGACTCTATCACCACTCCAACTTTTACTGTCCCCTCCTCAGAGTGCTCAGCATCCTCACATCTTCCCCACTCTCCCAAAGCCTCTGAATCAGGGAGGGGAAAGTGTAGATCACTGGGGCCACCAGTGGGCAAGAGGCACTGGGAGGAGGGAGCAGAGGCGGGAGCTTGGCTGCTGGCAGGTGCTGAACATCTCCTAATTTTTCCCTGTGGGTGCTTATCCTCAGAACACACATGGAATCGGCACCTAGAAACACAGAAACACCCAGCTTTCATAACATTCGTTAAGGACTAGCAATAACCCCTTTTGTTCTTCCTCATCAACATTAGTAATGTTGGAAACAATAAAAAAAAATCAAAACCAAAAACAGCAACATAAATAAAAAGAGGAAACTCTTTTTCCCATGATTCTACACAAAGGACTTTCACCTGAGGTTTCTTACCATCTTATAAAGATCTGAGACGCTGATCTGATCTGAATCCACCACCTCAAAGTCCTTCCGAGGAACTAGATCCAGGCCTAAGTGCCTATGAAAGAGAAAGGCAGATGAAGCAACTGTTAGTTCACCTATCAACTCTTCATGCACACACAGGAACAATGACACTTGAACCACTAACCTCATGCAGGTGCTGTTGGATTTCAAACAACAATAATCCTTTTTAAATGTAAAAATAAAAAACAAAAGCAAACAATAACAGGGCGAAGAGCTTCATATGGTGTAAATCAGCTGGCTCCAGCACTTCAAGGGAGCTACCCCAATGTATAACAGTTGAGGATATGCACCTCTATATTGATGTGATGGGATGGGCAAGTTAATTTGACAAAAGTTGGGAAATGTATAGTTAAGGTTCCTACCTAAACAATTTCAGCATGTTCTTTTGTCACGTTATTAAACAACATATATAGAATAACAAGGAATGTTCATGTATGTCTATATAATGCTAAAACAGTATATAATGCTAAAACAGTATTCAAAGCAACTGACTTATGAAACCCAATTGGAGGAGGACTAGAAAAAACACATTACTATTCCATTTTAAGGACTGATTTGCCAAATAGTATATCACACTGCTTCAGTATAATCTTTTAATAAAAGGCACATATGCAAGCGAACACTGTAGAACACTTTGGGAAATTCACTTTGAATGTCATGACTCCTGAGAAACTAAAAATCCAACCTTAACACTGAGTAATTTATTTTGCAAACTAAAATCTGGTGACACAAGTAGACTCAACAGCTGACTTATTTGGCAAGCTCAGTCCCCTAGAGTGTCAGGCATTTCTGCATGTAGCTAAATAAGCAGCATTGCTATGCTTCAGCTATCAGCAGCTACCAGAATAGCCCAAAAGGGCATTTGGCTATGAGGCTCGACACTCACTCCTACAGTTATGGTCCTAAATTATCTACTCACAGAAGCATTGTACAGCCCTCTTTTATTTATACAATTGGAAGAAAGTTGTTAAAAAGTGCTATATTTTCATATTTTGCAGATAGGCAAGCTACAATTTTCAAACACTGATGTCTTTGCCAAATACAATTCGACTTACACCAGGACACTGAAAGGCAAACTTCCTTCTGAAATATTCCTTGTGAAATGTCAATTTCTACCCTAAACACACCTGTCGTAAAAACAGCTGCACAATTTATTGATCTTTTTAATAATAGAAAATATATCATTCTCGCCTGTCTTCATTCTTAAAAATGACTAACCTGTTTTGCTGAAACTTACAAAATATATTTCACCATTGTACAGGCTGAAAGATGAAAAATGCTGACTGTAACAACTAAAAAGGAGGTGTTATAAAGAACTATTTAGGTAATCTGAAAATGTACTGTCATTAGCCTACCAGATATAATAAAAGATACAGAGTTTATATTTTAGGTATGTGTGATGTGGTCTGGTCACAGAAGTCCCCTGTTCCCTGGTGTGCTGATCATGCCACTGACATGTGCATGCTTGCTCTCTGGGGCTCTCCATTACCCGTTCCTGCTGGGCCAGATCCTCTGTCTCCACCAGACAAGGCAAAGAGTTGGGGTAAGCCCCTCCCCTCCCCGCTGAACAATATAGACACTGAACCACTTCAGCTCTGGGAAGATGCAGTTCTGGGGCATAACACCCAGGAAACCAACCCCCATATGGAACCAACTCCCCAAATAAATCCATCTTTTTCTATGTAAAAGTTTTACACATTGAAAGCTCATCAGGACATATACACAATGGTTGTTCCCCCCAGGTTCCAATTATTTACACTGGGCCTGTCAGAAAACAAAAGTGTTTTTCTTAAATACAAATAGTAAGAAATAAGTGGTTGCGAGTGAAAACAAACAGATCAAAATAAATTACTAAATTAAAATTAATAGAAAATGCATAGCTAGTTCTAATCCCCTAAGAAACCCATTGCAAGCAGATTCCTACCCTAAAGTATTGTTCCTATTTCAGGCATAATCTTCAAGTCAGAGAAACTCTTTTATCCTCATTTGGGTCTCCAGCCCTCTTTGTATCCTTCCCATTGCTTAAACAGACTTTCTCACAGTGGGAATCTTTTGTTTTACATCCCCTCTTCTGTGGAAATTTACCAGGCTCAAGATGGAGCCCTGTACCAGGTGGTATAATCACATGCCTTACTAGTCCAATCACCTTCCAGACTTAAAGGACAAACAAGTTGAGAGTACCCGAATGAGAAATTACTTACTGTGACACAAGAACCACTTCATATGTTTGAAAACAAGGAGTAGTCCTGTGGCACCTTGGGGTATGTTTACACAGCACCCTAAACTCAAAATAAGCTACGCAATTTGCGCTATGCAAATTGCGCAGCTTATTTTGAGTCTATTTTGAAATAGCTTATTTCATCATTTGGCGCTGTCTACACAGTGCCAAATTTCAAAATATAGCACTATTTTGAGCCATCCCTTACTCCTCGTACAATGAGGTTTACAAAGATGGCAAAATAGCGTGTCCACTATATTTTGAAATAGCAGACGCATTCAAAAGACGCAGGGTAGCTATTTTGGGATACCTCTGGTATCCCAAAATAACTTTACTGTGTAAACATATCCTTAGAGACGAATAAAAATATATAGACTCATGAGCTTTCATGGACTTTGGTTCAGGGTGTCAAATTTTCATATGAATTCCGGCTCAGCAGTTTCCTAGATAAGAAATAATGAGTTCTCCCTGTGGCATCTTAGAAACTAACAAAAATACAGCCAGTTTCCGACTTACGACCACCTCCACTCACGATCATCTGCACTTACGACCAAAGCGGTCGTAAATGTGGTCCCCGAGTTACGAACGCGATCCGCACTTATGAACAGCGCAGTCGCCATGTAACTCAATGAGATCCGAGTTATGAACACTTCTAGTTACAGTGTTTGTTCCGTAACTCGTTTGTAACTCGGGGACCGGCTGTATATAGTATCATGAGCTTTTGTGATGAAGTGAGTCTTGACCATTAAAGTGAGTCTTGACCATTAAAATATTATATATTTTTGTTAGTCTCTAAGGTGCCAAAGGACTACATGTTGTTTTTAAAGTTACAGAGTAACACTGCTACCTCTCTGTGACTAGATTAGAACAGTTTCTTAATCTAATAGACTTCTTCTAAATATAAAACAACAACACATATACGTTAAAAATGTATATGAAGTAAACCCTCCCAAACATGTGGATCTCAGGTGACAAAAATAAACAGATGTTTACTAACAGTACTATCAAAAGAACAGAACACACATAATACCCTTTTTGTGGAGTTACAGTCTACTATAATAGCATTACATAAAGGCTGCCAAAGCTGTTCATAGTTGAAAACTGTCCCATTCTCACAATTTCAATTCTCTTTGGAACTGCGAACTCAAATAGTGGATATGCTATTCAGTATGTGACAAAAATGCTATCCTTTACTTAATAGCATTTGATACAATAGCAACAGTAGTACTCTGAAACTATTACCTTTGAAACTTATTTGGCAGTCTAAATTTAATAAAATCCTCTAACACCATGGATTTCCGGTACAGAAGATTCTCATCTTTTAATACAATGTTAATCCTGCACAATACCTACTCCTAGTAAGCTGGTATCTGCATGCAGTGCCACAGTAACCAAATTAAATCTTTTTCTACTAGCTCTTAAGAACTAAACATATTTTTATCTGTAATGAGGGTTGAAGTTTAATCTTTATTATGTAAAATGTTTAATTGGGTTGATAAGACCTGCTTCCTGCAGGGTCAGTTGACACAGTGCTTAAAATGCCAGAGACTGTCAGTAGACGATTCATACTAAAGCGCCCACTGTTGCTAACACTGACGGCCCTGAGCCAGAGTAATCAACATAAGGACATTTTTTGAAAAACTCTCTAGTACAGATGAGAATTAGATGTCATGGAACTCCATTTATTGGGCAATTCCCTCTGCATAGGAGTTTCTCTTTAAAAATATCCTTTTGTTATTACTTTTGTCTCATAGATTACTCCTTGAAGCAGCTTCACAAGTAAATTACTTAGGAAAAATTCCAAAAATGGTAGATAGTTTCTATGAACAACATCAGCATGGGACAAAGTCAGTATTGAAATGGCAGGAGTTTGTGCAAGTCTTTTCTTCCATGGAGCCAGTTTTTGGACCCCATAAAGAAGAATCTCAGCTTTCTTTGAAAACAATATTTGAAGCTCTGGCTCTTTACTTTGCAAAAATTATCTCAAACACAAACTGACATAAAGCAGCGCTAAACAATTGCTAAGATGAAAAGGACTATGCGCTTTGGCTTCATCTACAGTAGAAGGTTGTGTGGGAATGAAGAGATCCATCCCCAAAAGATTTTATTAAAACATGAGTCAGTTAAACCTGCAGAATACAGTAATTACTCATTTAACACGTGCCCGCTTAACACGTTTATGCAATAGCATGATTTTATTTTTAGGGAATGTTTTTCGAATAACACAACTGTCCCCGAAATAACACAAAGATAATCAAGTGGCAGACTACTTCACGAGGAGGTATAAGTTGGTGAAAACAGTGGTAATACTCATGAGTGGATGAATACATGTGGTCATAGCGCTTCTCCGCTCACTCACGTGTTTATCTTTGTGTTTTAACAAACTGCAGTGATTTGTGTTGCTAGTTATCTTGTATTCTAGGTATCTAATGCTGACATCGATGACCCAGAAGCAACAAAATATTGACTTTGCCACCACCACCTGAACTGCAACCCTCACCTTTTCCATTATTTTTAATGGGAAAATTGACCCCGCAGAGCTCGTTTTCACTTAGCACGAACATTTTCAGAAACGCATCTATAGTGTTAAATGAGGAATTATTGTATTTTGAAGTATGATGGGCAGGCCCACCAACCGGAGAAGGGGGGAAAAGAGCAATTGCCCCAGGGCCCAGTGATTCAAAAGGGCCTGAGGTGCCCTGCTGGCCATTGCCACTATTGCAGCAGCAACAGTGCCAAAGCCCCAGGCCCTATAAATCGGCCCTGGAGTGACATGTGGTAAACTCCGGGCAACTCTCAGAGCTGCCTGAGTGGTG